AAAACGGAATGAGAAACACGCAGGCCTAAGAGCGGAATATTGTGGCTTGTTGGCTGTGTTCACACGAGACACTGAACCAAGCAGCTCCTGGCGCCTGCTTGGTTATTGTTAGGGGGTTTGCCATAGTGACAAATATACCTGTAGCTTGGGTGGAGGATGAGGTTGTGGGTTGGTTTCCGAATGTTTCATTGCCAAGCTAGGTAACAACTTCAGCGGAGTTCAGATTAGGAGTTGAGGAGTTTCAACTCCGCTGAAGATCTTAACCTGGTAATGGAACCAGCCAGAAGCTTGGAGGAGGAATCTCCACTCTCATTGTTAGGGACGTCTAATCAGGAGTCCTTGGTGCTTTCTGAGCTGGTGCTCAGAAGTCCACAAGTCTTAAAGTGGCCAAGGTTGGAGACCCCTGATTTAAACTGTTTAGGGGGGGTGGGGGGGATGCAAGGGGAAAGTCTCCTTTTCGGAAGGCTTGGCTCGATCCCAGTGGATTCTTCTAAAAGGGGCCAGCAGGTGCCACACGTTTTCTACCTCTTATGACCAACATTTATTTCTCGATCCATCTATTTACGATTGAATCGATACGCCGCAAAGGAACCAGACAATCCTTCTGGGTGCGGCTTTGCCAAGGAGCGGCTGCTTCTTCGAGACCTTGGGATAGTGGCCAAAGCTAATGGAGGTCAGAGTCCAGGGGTTGGAGGATGGAGAAGCTTCACGCCGCCTTGCTGGATGAGGCGATGTAAAGTTACACCGGAAAGATAGTTAAGCTGCCTTCAGTCGCGGTTTTTTTTAGGGAAGGTAAACATGCCAGGCGACGTTTGTCAACACCTCACATGCCTGCCCTTTGGATAGAAAAGGATTTGCATGTCATAATTAACAACAAAGGACTTAACCCCACCTGCACACAGTTGCACCTTGTGTGACATGTTTTGACAGCTCGTCCTTAAACTGGTTGGTTGGCTCTTGGGGAAAATCTGAGCCATGCGCTCCCTCCAGGTGTGAGTTTAGATTGCCTTCACTTTTGCAGAAGAGCTAAAGGAGCTTTAGCTGAACGTGAGGATTAGTATTTGGGTTTTTAATGGGTTGTTTTTTTAAATGGGAAGGCGGCGGAAGCCATCCAAGACCCTGGGCTGGATCAAAGAGGGAAACTTGGCCAGCAGCACAAATTCCTCCTAATTTGGGGTTAAGTATATACTATAACTTTTTTTTTTTTTTTTTGCAAAATGAATTGTGGTTTGATAACTCGTGTGCCTCAACCACTTTCAAATGAGTGGACTTCAACTCCCAGAATTCCCCAGCCAGCTCTGCTGGCTGGGGAATTCTGGGAATTGAAGTCCACAGATTTTGAAAGTGGCTGCAGTTGAGAAACACACAATATTTTGGAGAAATTTGTTTTTTAATCTGCTAGCACTTACTTGCCTGGGGGCTAAAGTGTCAATTGCCCCTCTTTTTTCCTTTTCCCAGGCTGAGTAAACATTTTCCCAGGCTGAGTAAACATTTTTGAAAACAATCCCTCCTTTTTTCCTGACATCTGCCCTGTCTTTCTCAAAGGCTAATTATTGTTCCAAAGTAGAACATGGAACAAACACAATGGTTAAGGCAGCATCTTAATTGCAGTTTTACCCCAGTGTTTTTAAACTGGCCCCTTTAAGACGGTGGGCTTCAACGCCCAGAAATCCCCAACCCATGGCTGGCTGGGGAATTCTGGGTGCTGAAGTCCATGTGGCCCAGGTTGGACACCCCTGGTCTAGACCCCATTGAAGTTAGCATCTCCTTGTGCAGGAGGCCTCCCTTTCTCCACCTCTCTTTTGTAGACCCCTCTCGCAGGCTTCCATTTGGTGCCCTATTGTTCTGTTTTAAAATAAAATTTAAGATTTTTGCATAAATCGAACCTGTTTTGCAAGAAGGGAAGCTTATTATCATTGCAATAGACTTGCCAGTGTTCAACTAGCCAGGATAATGTGTGTTTCTGTCCTTTGTTTTATTTTAGTTCACTGGTTTTTTCACCGTTTTTGTTTTTTCTCCATTTTTTTTTCTCCCTTTTGGATTTTAATCTTTTGAAATAAAATAAAATGGTTGAAGTGGGGAAAAAAAAGTAAAGTTGCATAAAGTTTATATCCCTGCCCTTTGATATATGGCCGGCCGTTGATGCCACCTGCCAGTATCTAGTTCAGTTTTCCTTTGGTGCAAAGACTTGTGTGACTCCTATAACTTTTTAAAGTCATCAGGATTAGCTTAAAGCAGCCCCTGTAGGCTTGTCTTCCTCCAGTGGGTTGGCTCCCTTTAAATGACATCCTTTGGAAACCCTCCCTGCCTCTTTCAGCTTGACCGGCAGGCGGAAAAATGGAAGCCGACACAGACTGGCCTTAAGATGGGTTTACCTGCTTGTTTCGGACGCTACTGTACAATCCAGCCATTTTCGAGCTGTGCAAAGACCTGGCTGCTTCCCCTTCAGTCAGAATAGAGCTGGAAGGGACCTGGGAGGTCTTCTAGCCCAACCCCTTCCTCAAGCAGATCCTGCTTCAGACAAGGGGGATGTTCCTCCGGTGATGTCGCACCCACAAGACAAGGTCTCCTTCCACGGATTAAATATTCTTCATTGTCAGGAAGTTCCAGGATTAGTTTCCATCCGTTGCTTCTCTCCTGTCCTGCCTTGTGGGGCTTTGGAGAATAATTTGACCCCCTCTTCTTTGGGTCAGCCCCTCAAATGCTGGAATAATGCTATCATGTCCCCCGTCCCCCGGTCCTTCTTTTCTCTAGACTGGCCAACCCCAAATCCTGCAATCGTTCTCCATATGTTTTTGTCTCTGGGCCTTTAATCATCTTAGTTGCTCTTTGTTGAACTTTTTCCAAAGCCTCGACATCTTTTTTGTAATGGGACCAAAACTGGACGCAGTATTCCAGGTGGGGCCTTACTAAGGCTTTACAAAGCGGTACTAATACTTAATACCTCCCTGTGTCTCCCCCCCTCCCTTCCCTATACCTTGGAGTTGTGAACATCTGTAACTGCTTAAAAATCTTGGTTGTCCAATAGCAAGAATTGGCTGCAAAATGCAGCCGTTAATGAAAAAAACGTGTCTTTAAATCTTGTGGGTGTTTCCAAACAGTTCTCTGTGTCTGTGTCTGTGTGTGTGTGTACATTCTTCTGTAGCACTAGCGAGTCTGCGTCCCCCTCCCTCTTCTTGGCCTCTGATTGCAGAGCTCACCGCGTTGCGTAGAAATTGTGTAAAGTTGGGGCATCCCTCACAGCTGTGGTGTGATGTGACTTTATGGCTCGAAAAGAAATCCAGGGGGGTGAGAGAGGCCCAGTGTTGACAAAAGCTTTCATGCAAAAATAAGAGCCGCAATGGTTTGGCTTGAGGTTTCTAACGCTTCCTCGACATACGACCACAATAGAGCCCAGGTCCTCTGTTGGCTAGGCGGGAGAATTATCAAATGTGTTTTTGTCCCATTTTACGACCTTTCATTATCTCTGGTGTTAAGTGAATCACTGCAGTTGGTAAGTTAGTCACACGGTTGTTACGTGAATCTGGTTTCCCCACTGACTTCGCTTGGCGGAAGGTCGCAAAAGGGGATCGACGATAAAACAGCCGTGGTGGCGCAGTGGTCAGAGTGCAGTACTGCAGGCTCCTTCTGCCAACTGCTGACTGCCTGCAATTTGGCAGTTCGAATCTCACCAGGCTCAAAGGTTGACTCAACCTTCCGTCCTTCCGAGGTGGGTACAATGAGGACCCAGACTGTTGGGGGGCAAGAGGCTGGCTCTGTAAACCGCTTAGAGAGGGGCTGTAAAACATTGTGAGGCCGTATCCAAGTCTAAATGCTGTTGCTGGCAAACTCTGCCCATTGCCAGCAGTTCAATCCTGACCAATGCCAGGTTGACTCAGCCTTCCATCCTTCCGAGGTGGGTCCAGTGAGGACCCAGATTGTTGGGGGTAATGTGCTGACTCTGTAAACCGCTTAGAGGGGGCTGGGAAGCACTGTGAAGCGGTATAGAAGTCTAAGGGCTATTGCTATCGCACGGCACTGCGGCCGTCATAAATATGAACCATCTACTTTTTGACCACGTGACCATCAGGGTGCTGCAATGGTCATAAGCACGAAAATGGTCATAAGTAACTTTTTAAAAACTGATTGAACTTCAAATGGCCACTAAACGGCTGACTGCCTGCATAGTTTTGAGTCATTGGAAGTGGGTGTAGCTGGGTCAGAGGCCTGAAGGCAGCAGCCTCAGTTGTGTGTGTGTGTGTGTGTGTGTGTGTGTGGTGACTTATGCTAAATTGCTGTGGAGAACCCACCAGAAATAACGCCCCCACCAGGGCATCATCATCATCATGGAAGGGGCTGCTATGCCAGCAACCCTGGTGGGCTTGTTTTGAGTGCCAGCTGCTTAATTGGATTTATGTTAGCCCAGAATTCCATATGCAGATAGTCCTTGACTCCCATTGGGGTTTTTTTTTCTTCCTATAATAGATTTTTATTAGTTTTATCAAAGTATAAAATACAGAGAGCAGTTTTAAAAAGTGATAGAAAACTGGAGGGAAGGAAAAAAAGAAAAAAAAGAGAGAAAATATAGAGGAAAGAGGAAAGAAAAAGGCACAGGCTTCCAACTCTCTTGAGCACAGTAGAAGATAAACAACATTACAACCTCAACTTTTTACTTTTACACAACTCTGTGTGTGTGTGTACATATACATACACACACACACATACATACTAGCCCTTTTCATAGCAACAAACCTATGTAATCAGCAAAAACAAAGTTTCATATATATATATTTATATATATTTATTATATTATATTATATTATTATATTTTCCATTGCAAGCACAAAATCGGAAGCAATTTCCAAATAGAAGCAAAACTAACTATATTATTTTCTTTGGATTTAAAAAAAAAAAGTCCATTTAACCATCTCTGCTTCTCCTCCTTTTCTAAGTGGGGTGTGTAAACTTCTGTTATCCCAACTTAACGGCTAATGGTGGCCTTCATTCTTTTCCTTCCACAGGTTTGAATGTGACCTGTAGAAGACGGCGAAGATGTCGCTTCACAACACCAGAGCCTCGGTGCTCCTGGCCTGGGTAAAAACCGAGAACCCTTTGCAGAGTGGCTTTGGAGCAGGGTTGGGCAGCTCATGGCAACTTTACATGCTTTTGTGGACTTCAACTCCCAGAATTCCTGAGCCAGCCAGAATGGCTGGCTCAGGAATTCTGGGAGTTGAAGTCCCCCCCCATCTCAAAGTGGCTGCCTGTGAGATGTGATGGAGACGCAGGAATGCTTTTACGTCTGCCCAAATTGGCAGCTCTTCACGTTTATAGTTTTGGGGTTTTATTGGGTTATATTTGGTGTGGGGAAATAGGATGTGGATCATCAGATATGGCAGCCATGTACTAGGAATAGAAACAACAGCGTTCTTTTGCTAAACTGGGAGGGTTAAAAAAAAATATCTTAATGTTTGAAAGCATGGAAACAGTTGGGATGGGGGGAAACCCTAATGTTCTTTCTGGGCACAGGCCAGCGTGTATTATTCTCCAAAGAGGAGCCCCCTTCTCCAGCCTAGTTTTCCCACCCGGCTGCCTCATTGACCAGCGTTGCCTAGCGGAATGACCACACGGGAACGCTGGCGTGTGGCTGCTGACGTGGCTCTCCTCCTCCGCAGGTGAACAGCCTGAAGCTGGGGGATGCGGTCACTTCGTTGTCTGAGCTCCAGGATTGCAGCCTTTTCCTCAAGATCATCGGCAAAATGTAAGACGGATGTCAGCGTCTTTAGGCTCTGGCACCAAGGCTCCCCAACCTCTGGACCACTGCAACCAGGCCACAGAAGTGGTGGGCAAGCGTGTGTGTGTGTGTGTGCACGTGTGTGAAGCTGAATTTGTGAAAGTGGTACCCGTGCACGGAACCATTCTCCCCCGCCCTCGCGCAAGTCTGCAAAGCCGAAAGGTTTGGGGAACTCTTGCCTGAGATCCTATCCGCTTAGGATGCTGCTGACCCTCATCCAGCTGTTCCTGAGCTGGGCAAAAGACCTGGCTGCTTCTCCATCCCCACATCCAAATGTGATAAATAAATAAAATAGAAGCCAGCCATTCAGGGGGAAAAAAAATCAGCAGGCATCAAGGTTGCAAGTGGTCCAGACAGAGCAGCGTTTCTCAACTTTGGCAGCTTTCAAGATGTGTGGACTTCCAACTCTCAGAATGCCCCAGGCACAAATTGGGGGAGTTGAAGTCTACACAAGTTAAAGTTGTCGGTAGAAATACTGGACTAGGTGACCCTTCTGGTCTCTTCCAACTCTATCGTTCATGGCTGGCTGGGGAATTCTTGGAGTTGAGGTCCACATGTCTTA